CTTCTGTTCGGATATCACTTCCGCGAGTCTGACATCTTGCACTTGGTCCCATCCCACCAAAGGTTGTGAACACTAGAGTGAAGCTGCCTTGATCAACGTTCTGAATTCTCTCCCCGTATGCCTTTATCGTGTCGTTCTCGTTCCTCCTGTGTGCAGCATCGAGAGCTAGGTTACGGTGACATGCGGCCATGGAATAAAAAATCCTGATGTTGAAGAAGGCTCGGGGACCAGAATCCTTGAGCACTGACGTCAACACGGGCTTCGTTGGATGTGTTTGAAGTCCTATGTTGGAAAATCTCACCGTCCAATGGAAGGAGGTTCGGTTCTACCCTGATATTACTACTACTTTCGTCACTACGGTGGAAGATGAAACCACTACTACTACTACTATTTTTTCTTTCGTCGTAGCCTCCCGCCTCCCCCAATAGCCACACCTTCGCCGCCATTTTATTACTACAACTACTATTTTTATTTAAATCTGTAATGGCCTCCAACCACCCCTTACATCTTCATCATCACAACAAACATACACCCCCCCCCCCACGTCACCCCCTCAGCATAATCAATTTATCAGTCACACACACACACACACACACACAGTAGAGGACTTTCACCTTGTTACCACCGCATTAACAACCTTGGTAACGTGATCATCATTCAGTGGTCACGCCCGCATATTAGTTCTGCTCCCCCCCTACCCGGTCCCTCTGCCCCTACTCACCCCCAGCCACAGTCCTCACCCCTAACTGCCTCCACCCACAGAGACGATAGGAACGGACACACAGGCAGACAACCTATCTACCTACCTACTTACCCTATCTACCCTGCAATTCCACCTATCTACCTGCCTATCTACCTATCACCTGCCCTATGGTCATGTGGCAGGCGCAGCCTATCCATTCAATTCTGATTTTCACCAAGCTTATATTTAGCGTATCAGAGAGAGAGAGGGCAGTGAGGCTGAGGAGGTCATTGAACTAGAAGACTTATGTCTTGTGTGTGTGTGTGTGTGTGTGTGTGTGTGTGTGTGTGTGTGTCTTGTAATGATATTATGTGTGTGTTACTAAGGCTTCAAAAGTTTGGACACAAGTACAGCTCCCAGTTAGCTAATCAGATAAGTGAGCCATAGAAAGGAAGGAAGGAAGGAAGGAAGGAAGGAAGAGAAGGAGGGAGGGATAATGATGGATGGGCCCCTTGGCTTATCTGTTACCACTAGTCATATATACATACACTTCCTGCCTTGACTGTCACTCCCTGCACACACATCCATACTCTCTCTCTCTCTCTCTCTCTCTCTCTCTCTCTCTCTCTCTCTCTCTCTCTCTCTCTCTCAGCAGCTACACCACACGCCCAACACATTATACTGTATAACGTTGCTATATCATTCTTGCTATACACTGCTATATCACTCGGACACAACACAACAATTTGCCAAGAGTGTTTGATAGATCTTTATTCTATGAGACTGAAAAATAATGATGATGATGATTTTACTTTCTCCGCATATATATATATAAACAATTTATATAGAGAGATAGCCAAATAGACAGATAGACAGACAGAGATAGACAGATAGATAGATAGACAAATAGAGATAGATAGATTAAAATGCGAAATAGAGTGGTGTGTGTGTGTGTGTGTGTGTGTGTGCCACTGCTTACAATATCAGTGTCTGGAGACGCTTCCCAATACTTCACGTGTTTGACTTGAAGCCAAAACCAATTTAATTATTTCCCTCCGACTGTTTGAGAGAGAGAGAGAGAGAGAGAGAGAGAGAGAGAGAGAGATACATATCGGGTTTCAACAGGTCGTCTGGAGAGCCAGTTAGAGCAGCTCAAATGTGTTTTTGGTGTTTGATCAGCGAGTGACCCTGACCTTGAAGGGTGTGCTGTGGGTGCCAGTAGTGCCAGGAGGGAGGATGCCAAGCTGTTGTAATTAACACACACACACACACAGAGGGATATGTGATGTGTTATACTCGTGTTCCCACCACCACAGCTGACTGACTGACTGCCTGGTGGAGGTGGCGACGACCTTGGCTTCCCCAACAGAAGGGAAAGAGAAGGACAAGTGAGAGAGGGGGAGGAGAGGGGGAGAGAGAGGGGGGAGGAGAGGGAGGTTTAACGTAGGAACATCTTTGAGAACGTGATCCCTGGCTGGTATATTTACTACTAGAGCTGCCATCATCACCTCTGTCTTCTCTACTAGGACGCCGCCACCGCCGCCCCGCCCACCCACCCAGCCAGCCACCCAGTTTCTCTCACCGCCCACCACACCACATACTACCATCCATGACCACCATCACCACTATCACCATCATTATACGTCACAACACCATCACTGTCACATCTCCACCAGCATCTTGAAGGACTCTGGGGGAGGGGGATCTGGCTAAAACTTGGGGGACGGTAAACATGTTGGGAGTCCTAGATAAAGCTTAATGAGGGGGGTGAGTGGTGAGGTGGGGGAGAAGGACTTGGAAGAGGAGGGGGAGGAGATGTCAGGACTGGGAATGCCAGGAACTCCTAGCAGGATGTGTGTGTGTGTGTGTGTGTCCTGCCGACTGACAGGGGCTGGGAAAATCACTTTGAAAGGACAGAGAGAGATACCTGAGTGTAGAGGAGGCACGTATGGTGTGGAGAAGGTAAACAACCCCCCACCCCTCCGATGTTGACTAACTGTCAGGTGCAGCATGATGGTGATGCAATTCCTATCGGCCATTGTGTACATAGTGGTCATAATGCTAAATGTCACTTCTGTAGGGTTTAATGCTGTACTTCATTCATTCACTTCACACTTACTTCATTCGACACTTCCTTCCTCTACCTTCTGCTTCACTCACCCCCCTTCCTTCCTCTACCTTCCTTCCTCTAAACCCTTTTACTTCCTCTACACCCCTTCCTTCCTCTACACCCCTTCCTTCACTTCCACCTTCCCTTCACTCCACCCCCCTCCTTCCTCTACACCCCCTTCTCCTCCCTACACCCCCCCTTCCTTCCTCTACACCCCTTCCTTCCTCTACACCCCTTCCTTCCTCACCTTCCTCACTCTACACCCCCCTTCCTTCCTCTGCCCTTCCTCCACCCCTTCCTTCACTCTACACCCCCTTCCTTCACTCTACACCCCTCTTCCTTCACTCTACACCCCCTTCCTTCACACCTACACCTTCCTTCATCATCCACCAGTAGGCAGGTGTGTGGGCTGACCTCATCATCCCAGGAAGTCGTAACCTCCGACTCTATTTCAACCATCCCGCTAATGGACGCCAGAGGACCTAATGCTTTCTCCTGAGTTGCGAGTCATTTTCTCTCTGTTATATATGAGTCGACTCAAAAGAGGAGAGGGTCTTACTCACAGGGACTCTCAGCTCACAAAGTAACAACGAAGACAAAAATGCAATCATCAACAATAATAATAATAATATGATGATGATGATGAATCCCTTATGACCTATGAATGACCCCAACTTTGACCCCTGACCTACTTTTTGACTCCCGGGAATAAGTCAAAATTAACCCGGTTCAGCATCTCGGGAATGGAGGAGTTTTTTTTAGTTTAACAAATTTATTGGCAGAGCTTGTAGTACAGTTTGCCTATTCTGAGTAATTCAGTCAGGTCTTGACACTGAGGGTGGTATCACTTCTCACTGTCACGCAGGACAGAGGTTCACACACAAAGAAATACATCATATTCATTAACAACTATAAATGTAGAGGTCAGATTCATATGGATAATGTCACTGTTCACTGCCATGCAGGACAGAGGTTCGTACACAAAGAGTTGCATCATATTCATTGACAGTACATATACATATATGTAAACACACACACACACACACACACATATACATACATATACGTATATACATACACATATACATGTACACGTACATATACATGCACACACGCACACATACATACATATACGTCGGTCAGATTCATGTGGGTAATGTCACTGTTCACTGCCACGCAGGACAGAGGTTCGTAAACAAAGAATGCATCATATTCATTGACACTATATATAGGTCAGATTCATGTGGGTAATGCCACTGTTCACTGCCACGCAGGACAGAGGTTCGTACACAAAGAAGGAAATACATCACATTCACCAGCAGCATATATATGTCAGTGGATCACATACATTGGAGTCATATTCTAATTGAAGACTAATCAGTGTGGGCTAGCAAATTTGGGATAAACAGCAAGAATGTCCTCAAGCACACCTGATTCAATGAAGTAATTACAGAATGGAGGAGAGAGGAGAGAGACGGGAGATGAGGAAAGGGAGAGGAAGGTGAGAAGAGAAGGGGAGGAGGGGGAAGGGGGGAAGGGGGGAGAGGGGTTTAAAAATTAGATTCCCTGTCGCAATTTGTCGCCAACCACACCACCGTTCCCGACCATCCTCATGAACACACACACACACACACACACACACACACACACACAAGATAACAGCATCACCTTTGTACCTTCACTAATTACAGGTAGACTCACATTACTATCAAACACCTGTGTCATTTTCATCCTACGAATCACACAACATTAATTGGACTTACCACCAATTACCAACGGCATAATGACGACTTACAAACTTGAGCCTTACCTTGTTAATTACAGCATGGTCATTAATTACACCTGTCTCTCACCTTTCATTCGATAAATTATATATAATTATTTGAGCTTTACCGAGTGTTTAAGAATTATTTAGTGGGAAGTAATGAAGAGGGAGATTAATTAGTTTGAAAAGGTAAAAAGGTGGGTGAGGGGGAAGGGGATAGGGGGGTAGAGATACAACAGGTATGAACTGGCTCTGAATAACTGCGTCTGATTCGTTCGCCCATGTTTTGTTTTTGACTGGGACTCGTCTCTCATTGGTTTGGGAGGGAATCAGCCAGCCAATCAGACGCCATCACCCCTGTCGTTGGAGAACCTGTTTTAATGTCATTCAAATCTCGTAAGTGAACACACACACACACACACAGAGCACTAGGGAACACTCACCTTGTACACCTGGCCGTAGGTTCCATTGCCAACGACCTCAATCAAGTCGAAGATTCCAGCTGGATCCTGTAAAACACAAGACATAACACGTTAATATTATAGTACAACAGGTGTAGGTACTGAATTAATGTACTCAGCGAGAATCAATGTACTCAGCGAGAGAGGGAATTAATGTAATCAGCGGCCTTATCAACACCTCCCCCTCAAGTCCACCTGACCTTTTAACCCACCTGGCCCTTTAGCTCACCCGGCCCTTTAGCTCACCTGGCCTTTTAACCCACCTGGCCCTTTAGCTCACCTGGCCCTTTAACCCACCTGGCCCTAGCTCACCTGGCCTTTAACCCACCTGACCTTTAACCACAGCGCTAACCCACCTGACCTTTAACCCACAGCCCTTTAACCCACCTGACCCTTCTCACGGCCCTAACCCACCTGACCCTTTAACCCACCTGGCCCTTCTAATGGCCCCAACCTGAAGCTGGTCGACTCCCCATCATCTACTAACCTAACCAAGGGATGTGGTTAGGTTAAGATCGAGACAGGTAAACGGCATGACAGGTTAGGTTAGGTCAGGGGACAGAAACGACATGACGGTTAGGTTAGGTCAGGGACGAAAACAACAGATGGGTTAGGTTAGGGTCAGGGACAGAAACATGACAGGTTAGGTTAGGGTCAGGGACAGAAAACGACATGACAGGTTAGGTTAGGGTCAGGGACGAGAAACAGCATATGATTAGGTTAGGGTCAGGGGACGAAACGACATGACGGGTTAGGTTAGGGTCAGGGGACAGAGCAACATGACGGGTTCGGTTAGGGTCAGGGGACAGGGAAACGACATGACGGGTTAGGTTAGGGTCAGGGGACGGAAACGACATGACAGGTTAGGTTAGGGTCAGGGGACGAAACGGCATGGCGGGTTCGGTTAGGGTCAGGGGACGGAAACGACATGACGGGTTAGGTTTGGGGACGGGACGGGAAACGACATGACGGGTTAGGTTAGGGTCAGGGACGGAAACGGCATGGCGGGTTCGGTTAGGGTCAGGGGACGGAAACGACATGACGGGTTAGGTTAGGGTCAGGGGACGGGAAACGACATGACGGGTTAGGTTAGGGTCAGGGGACGGAAACGACATGACAGGTTAGGTTAGGGTCAGGGACGGAAACGGCATGGCGGGTTCGGTTAGGGTCAGGGGACGGAAACGGCATGACGGGTTAGGTTAGGGTCAGGGACGGAAACGACATGACAGGTTAGGTTAGAGGTCAGGGACGAGGAAACGACATGACGGGTTAGGTTAGGGTCAGGGGACGGGAAACGACATGACGGGTTAGGTTAGGGTCAGGGACAGGGAAACGGCATGACGGGTTAGGTTAGGTTGCATACTTATCAGGTGAATTAATATGTGAGTGTCTAAATCATCAAATGCCCGCCATCTTGACCAGTCACCCCCTAGTGGAGACGGCCTTGGATCTCGGCTTTGCGTCCTCCTACTCACACCCTCAACAGACGCCATTCATGAGAGCCACTATCTCCTCCCCCCCTGACGTAATACCACTTAGACACAACCTGCCCCATCACTCCCCTGACGTAATTAACACCACTTAGACACAACTACCCACATCACCTCCCCTGACGTAATTAACACCACTTAAACACAACCTGTACCCCATCACCTCCCCTGACGTAATTAACACCCTTAGACACAACCTACCCCCATCACCTCCCCTGACGTAATTAACACCACTTAGACACAACCTGTACCCCATCACTCCCCTGACGTAATTAACACCACTTAGACACAACCTGTACCCCCATCACCTCCCCTGACGTAATTAACACCACTTAGACACAACCTGTACCCCATCACCTCCCCTGACGTAATTAACACCACTTAGACACAACCTGTACCCCCATCACCTCCCCTGACGTAATTAACACCACTTAGACACAACCTGTACCCCCATCACCTCCTGACGTAATTAACACCACTTAGACACAACCTGTACCCCATCACCTCCCCTGACGTAACTAACACCACTTAGACATCAACAGACACAACCTGTACCCCATCACCCCCTGACGTTAACACCCTTAGACACAACCTGTACCCCATCACCACGTAATTAACGACACAACCTGTGCCCCCATCACCCCTGACGTAATTAACACCACTTAGACACAACCTGTACCCCCATCACCCCCCTGACGTAATTAACACCACTTAGACACAACCTGTACCCCATCACCCCCTGACGTAATTAACACCATAGACCTCACTGTACCCCATCACCTCCCCTGACGTAATTAACACCACTTAGACACAACCTGTACCCCATCACCCCCTGACGTAATTAACACCATGACGTACCCCATCACCTCCCCTGACGTAATTAACACCACTTAGACACAACCTGACGTAATTAACACCACTTAGACACAACCTGTACCCCATCACCTCCCCTGACGTAATTAACACCACTTAGACACAACCTGTACCCCCATCACCCCTGACGTAATTAACACCACTTAGACACAACCTGTACCCCATCACCCCCCTGACGTAATTAACACCACTTAGACACAACCTCCCCCATCACCTCCCCTGACGTAATTAACACCACTTAGACACAACCTGTACCCCCATCACCCCCCCTGACGTAATTAACACCACTTAGACCTCACCTGTACCCCCATCACCCCCCGACCCTCACCAAGTGTATCAAACAGTTGCGGGAGGGGGGAGGGGGGGAGGGGGGCAATTAAATGCTGTCTTTAAAGTGCAGTGTCTGTCTATCTGTCTGTCGGAGTGGGCGGAGCGACGTCGAAGTGGGCGGGGTGACGTCGGAGTGAGTTAGGTTAGGTTAAGGAAGGGGGGGTAGGGTGGGGGTGGCAGAGAGAGTCAAAGCAAAGTTCACAAAAGAGGGAAAAGCCGACACAGACAGACAGAGATTTGGATTGATGACGGACGGATGGACGGACGGACGGATTTGGATGGATTTGACGGAGAGACAGACAGACAGACAGACAGACAGACAGACAGACAGACAGACAAACAGAAACAAGGGGTCGAACCAGGCGGGAGACGGGAAAACACTCTAAAATAGAAAGTTGTAGAGGAAAGGGAGGGGAGAGAGGGGGAGAAAGGGGGGATGGTTTTTAAGGAAAGGGTGGGGAGGTAAGGATTCTCTCCCCTACACACACACACACACACACACACACACACACACATACACACAAGGGGTCGGGTGAAACTCAACAAGTGTTACACAAATCCACATGACGTCACCAAGGCATTTTCGATAGCAGTGGGGAAAATATAACAATCCCCAGACACTGGAGGCCGGATTTAACCTGAGGAGGGGGGGGAGAAGGGGGGGAGGGGGGAGAAGGGGGGAAGTTAAAGTAGGATAGGTTAGGGGAGAGAGGGGAGGGAGGGAGGAAGAGTTAAAGTAGATAGAAGGTTGGGAGAGAGAGAGAGAGAGAGAGAGAGAGGTAGAGAGAGAGAGTTATGTGTGGTGGTGTGGTGGTAGTAGTATATATGACTGTATGTGATTTTGTGGTGTAAGACAGACAGAGCAGACAGACAGACAGACAGACAGACAGACAGACAGACAGACAGACAAACAGACACACGAGCTACAGGATGGTGGGTAATACCGAGCTGGGCCTCAACACCCCACCACTCAGCTACACACCCCACCACCACCACCACCACTCAACAACCAACAACCACAATAACAACCCTCAACCACCACCATCACTACCACCACCACCACTCAACAACCACACAATAATTACACCTCAACCACCACCATCATCACCACCACCACCACTCAACAACCAACAACCACAATAACAACCCTCAACCACCACCATCACTACCACCACCACCACTCAACAACCAACAACCACAATAACACCCCTCAACCACCACCACCACCACTCAACAACCGCAATAACAATAACACCCCTCAACTACCACCATCAATCACAACAACAAACACGTGACCAAAAAGCACAACAAACTAGCTGTACCTTCTATGTAATGAACCCCTAATGGTACAAACAAAAACAATTACATTAAGATACAAAAAGGTCAAAGGTCAATTACGAATTCCCTTTTAACCTCGAGTCTGCAAGTCACATTAAAGGCATATTTTACCTCCTGTGCCAATGATCAACCTAATCCACCCCTCTTAACCCAACCCAACTTAACCTAACCTAACCCAACCTATCCCCCAGGTAGCTAATTTACAGGTGATCCCATATACCCTCGAGACAGGTAACCCCATCTGGCCTGCACGTACAAGCCAGTCAGCAGCCAAGCCAGTCAGCAGCCAAGCCAGTCAGCAGCAAAGCCAATCAGCAGCCAAGCCACCCTATTGAGCGGAGTTTCTATCATATGAATTTATTGAACACAAATTGGGAATATCAATGGCGCTCGGGCTGCTACCAGACTCTAAGGAGTGAGTAGGGAGAGGGGAGGGAGGGAAGGGGGGAGGGGAGGGGAGGGGGAGGGAGGGGAGGGGAGGGGAGGGGAGGGGAAGGGGGAGGAAGGGGAGAAGGGAGAGGGAGGGAGGGGAGGAGGGGAGGGAGGGAGGAGGGAGGGAGGGAAGGGGAGGAAGGGGGGGGATGTGGGGAAGGGGGAGGGAAGGGGGGGGAGGGAAGGAGGGGAGGGAGGAGGGGAGGGAGGGAGGGAGGGAGGGGAGGGAGGGAGGAGGGGAGGAAGGGAAGGGGAGGGAGGGGAGGGGAGGAGGAGGGAGATGAGGGAGAAGAGGACGATGGGCACCTCTGAAGGAGCCAGGTTGGGGGGAGGGGAAGTATGAGGAAGGGAAGGATGGGAGGAGTGTAAGGGGAGCAGAATAAGGAAGGTGTAGGCGGGGGAGGGCCTGTTGGTGGTGAGCACCGGGGAGCGTGGTGGTGGTACTAGGGGAGCGTGGTGGTGGTACTAGGGGAGCGTGGTGGTGGTACTAGGGGAGCGTGGTGGTAGCGTCCGTGGTAACCTTGACAACCATTATTGTTCATCTGAGCCACCACGAGTGAGTCATGAGCCACCGCCGCCGTCCTC